GGCAGCGCGGGGCTCTGGGCGGCCCTGCAGCGTCCCCCGCTCACAGAGAGCAGCAGCAGCAGGAACAAGTGGGTTATTGTTGCCCCGTCCGGTCCTTGCCTTGAATGGGAACCGCGTGTTAAAATGCCGGTTTTATTCCCAGTTTGTTGGAGAGGCTCTTGCTGCAGTCCGTGCTCCTTCCCGAGGTCTCCGGTCAGGGCAGCGCTCGGCTCATGGCTCTTTTTTCCCTGCTAACACGCACAGCTTCCCGGTGGTCGCTTTTATTTAGGACTGTTGGGTTTTTTCCCCCCGCTGCGGCTCGTGTTCGCCTGTGATTCAGAGCCTGGGACACGGCTCATCCGGCACCGCACAAACGCAGCTGAAGTCACAGCCTCAAAATCTGGGGGGGAGGAGAAAAACACTGAGAAAAGACTCCCAGGGTTAGGGGACATTGTGCCGAAAAATGTTCCGTCCCGCTTGGCCACGCTTTGGGAAGGAGGCCAAGAGCCAGGCGGGCAGCGCGATTCCCTGGCACTGCTTTTGTAGAGACCCGGCAAAGGAAGTCGGAGAGGCCATGGATGGGAAAGGCATGGGCCTGCTGGGATCGTCTTCCCGGAGCGGGCGATGCCTCCTGGTTGAGGAGCAGGAACATCCCGCTGGGGTTCCCGGCGGGATGCTCGGGGTTCCCGCACCGCATCCGGCCGTGCAGCCTTGCGGAGCGAGCGCAGGATCCGCGCTCCGCAGAGCGGATCCTTGGGATCAAACTGCTGCTTCGCATGTCTTTTCTCACGGCTTGGTAGAGCTGAGCTGCAGATTTGCAGAGCGGGACAGGAATGGGGTGTGATCGGACACTCTTGGAGCCTGTAGCGAGGTTGGTGGCCAAGAAAAGAAAGAGAAACTCCACGTGCGCTCCGGAAGGGTTCGACGGGCGCCTCGCAGCGCTTCTGCTTCCTCCAGGTGGGAGAATATTGTGCTGGGCAGTCCTCCGGCTGGCCCACGCACCGCAGGAGGGTGCTGAGCTGGTTCGAACACCCTCGGAGCTCCAGGGAGCTGCTGAGGACCCAAAACGGTGGTGCCAGCAGCTCGATGTCCCGAGGGGCACCTCGATTGCAGCGTCTCCCCGTGCAGACGGCATTGGGTGTGCGATAAAGCTGGGTTCATCCAGGCAGGTCCCGTGTGACATCGGCTCCGCTGGGGACGGAGCTGTGCTGGGAACTGCTCCCTCGGCCGCCGCTGTGGCCCGCGGGTCGGGGACTGATGTCCCTTTTCCCTGCATCCCGTCACCCCGGCCCCGCAAGGAGCTGTGCTTTGCTCGGGCTTTGCGGCAGTGTGTTCCGAGTCCGCATCCTGCGCGGAGTCATCCCGCGCCCCAAACAGCAGCACGTGGAAGCGGTTGGGTCCTTGCTGCTATTTCTTTTAATTTTTTCTTTCTTTGGAAATAGGAAGCCTTAGCTTGATTGAAAACAGGAGGCAAAACTGCGTTTCCCAGTGCTCCAGGTTATACTTACCTAAAAGCTCCCAGCGAGCTCGTTGATGCGCAAAAGGCAGAATTACAAAACCAACGTGAGTGATGCAGTAGGTGTAAATTAAATAGGCTAGTGGGTGAGAAAGCGCAGAAAAACGGAAAATGATCCGGAAAGCTGATTTTCCACTGTCGGCCTAAATCTGCTTGCGTGTCCTTGTCGGCCCTTTGAGTTTTGCAGTGCACGTTGCAGCAGCAGGGAAGCTCTTGCCGCCCGGCACTCGCACACGCTTGGGAGTTCCAGCATTCCCGCCGTGTCCCGGCTCGGCTGGGATCACCGGCTCCCTTCGGAGGCCGTTTCCTCCCTTTGTCATCCCTGCTCCGAGCGCCGCCGGGGCAGAAGTTCCCTGACTGCATTATGGAAGTTTTATCTTCCCATAGAAAACTATATTGACTTCCTTTTCACATTAAAGCCGAATATTTGCTTAAAAAAAAAAAAAAACACAAAGAGGCAAGATGGGAGCTTAACGTTGTAAACTCGTGCTCCTTTTTCTTCCAGAGCTCAGCACATGCAGCCTGTTCATTTCCCTAGGGGAGCTCCTGTTTCTCCGCAGGCTCCAAGGGTGTCGAGGAGGGACGGGACCGAGCGGCACTGGCCCTTGCAGGGTCATGATCTGCATCCTCTCCTTCCGCAGAGGATCCCGACCCAGCAATGTGTTTCTTAATGTCATGCTGCATGGTTATAAAGAGGAAAGGGTCCCTGAGAGGGACAGATCCCATCCCGGAGCCACAGCACCGGTGGCCCAAGAGCTCGTGGGAAGTGATGAGAGGGGTTTCAAGAAGCTCTCGTTTCCCTGTGCCCTTTATGGTCACATAGAGCGAAGCCAGGGCAGCGCTGAGAGCTTTTGAGCCCCGCTCTGGAGCTGGAGAGCTTTGGAGCGGGCCGGGAGGGAGCCCGGGTCCCATTGGGATCCTCTTCCAGCGTTTCCCAGCGCGGCGCTCGCCCGCTTCCCCGCCAGGAGCATTCAACGCGCCCGGAGCCGCCCGCCTCGGGTCGGAGCAGCGACGCCGGCGTCCTGCTCTGCTTCGGGGGAGGCAGGGATTTATTTCAAGCCATTGCAGCAAGTTCCAGGTCATCCCAGCACAGCTGGGAGGCGCGATGATAAAATCTCCGTCTCGGCTGTTAACAGCACCAAGCCGGGGGAGGCAGGGATTTATTTCAAGCCTTTGCAGCAAGTTCCAGGTTATCCCAGCACGGCTGGGAGGCGCGATGATAAAATCTACGTCTCAGCTGTTAACAGCACCAAGTGACTTCTTGGGTTCATCCCTTTCGGAGGAGCTATCCCGAGCGCGGCCGTCCCTGGGGATCTGCCTTTCCTCACACTGACAGACGTGGTTAATGACGTCCCGCGAGTCACGCGAAGGACACACGTATTTCCTACGGCGGGAGGCTTGTTTCCATCGGGAGCTTTTCCAGGAGGACAAGTACCGGGAGGCCTCTCCCCTTCGGACGCTGGGGATCCCGGCTCCGGCGCGGCCGTGACGCTCCGCGCTCGCGGCACGCTTGGAACCGGCCGTTCAACTGATGGACCTCCATGGCTCACCGGCACCTCTTGACCTGCAGTTCCCCCCTTTTTTTGTAATGTCACCCACTTCTTTGTGCGGGGCGGTGACCTGGGAAGCCGGCAGCGGTGGCTGCAGGAAGAGCCGCAGGGTGTTGCGGTGCCGAGGACGCGGCGCCTCCGGAGCCAGGCTGCAGCGCTCCTCCTGGAGCGCCGTTCCGAAGCCAAGCGCGGCGGAGTTTCCCTTCCCGCCGCGCTGTCAGAGCCCACATAGCTTCTCCGAGAAGACCTCCGTAAATACATCTATTTTCCTGTCAGGAAACGCCACGACTTTAGGAAATTAAGCGCTGCTCTGAAAACAATTCCTGTTCTCACTGACATCCTCTTCTGTCAAGAGACTTCTGGAGGATGTTTCTACTGCTGCTTAGTGGGAAGGGGGGGAATTTTTTAGCACGAGCCCTGCCCTTGGCCTCCCTGAGCCCTCCAGTCGTCAGGGCCTTGAAGTGCTTGGCCATGGGCAATACTAGAAAGCAGCATTTAAGGAACTTCCCATTTGTGCTTTGGGAGGAAAATCAACAGGAATGATGGATTTCCCTGAGCTTTTGGGCAGATTTGGTTACCTGTCACGGTGCCACAAGTCTCTACCCAGGCGCCTCCGGAGGCGTTTTGGGGACGCGGTCATAGGAGAACAGTCCCTGGGATTAAGTCCAACTATTTTCCTTTGGTGCTCTGCAATAAAACGTGGAAATAAGTGTTTTATACCTGAAAGCCTTAGGTTATAGTATATTAAATGGGTTATAGTATGTTAAATGTCTTTATGTTTAACTGTCATATGGCAGTTTAATGACTTCTATGACCAACAGAAATTGAGTTTGGTTAAGCCAAGAGACCGACTTTTTGCTGTATTTTTACAGGCAGAAAAGACAGTTCTTCAGTATCTGTCTTCTCCTCCATATGCCATATATTTCTCCCTATTGACAAACAAACCAAAGATATCTGAATCTTTGAGGAAATACCTAAAATTAATGAGATAGGATATTAGAAGAAGGCTGAAAAAAGGAGCAGGCTGAGAAATGAAGCTCAGGCCACTCCATGGAATCTGTATTTAAAGATACAATCAAGATTAAGCATTCCTATCAAAACTGTCAAAAGAATAAGATTTTCTTTTTTTCAATACTCTGCAAACATAAGAAATTCTCCTCTTTGCCGCTGAAAGGCAAGTAAATGCCCCTTCGTGTAAAGGTAGCTCTCAAGAATTAACTCCAGATCACAGGAGTTCTTGCCAGAGCCTGTCCAGCTTTGCTGGTGTTACTTGTTAAAAACAAGTGGAACGTGGCCGTGTCACCGTGTCAACCCGGTGCTCTTATGGCCAGCGATAGGCTGGTCGAATCCAAGAGTTTAGCAGGAGCTGGAAAAGGTTAGACGTTAATCTGGAGAGCAGGTACCTCTTTGGTTAGGTTAGGCAGGGGGTAACTGCTTGTGCTGGAGGGCACGAGCCACGTCCTGGCCCACGCGGGTAGAGAGAAGCTTCCCGTGGGCTGTGTGCTGGCACTGTATCCCCTTGGGAATTCCCATGTCTTTCCCGGGAGCGTTAGGCTGTGGATACTCTCAGGGACGGGATGCAGGTCTGGGTGACTCGAGTGGGGCAGGTTGCTGCGCTAGTGGCAGCGTGTGCTTTGGGTGAGACACGCGAGGACCTGAGGGCAGGTGCAAGAGGACTCCCGCGGCTCCGGCGGGGCCGGCACGGAAGCGGGAGAGCCTCAACAGCCGCACAGCTCCTGCTAGGAACCGAATCCGGGCACTTCCTTCCCCTGGAGGTGCTCCTGCCCCGCTGCCCCTAGCAGGCCAAAGGAGGAGGTCAGCGTAGGGCTCGGGTGGTCCCGGCCGGCCCGGCGCTCCGAGGCGCCCCGAGGAACCGCAAACACGGCTTTCGGGCGGCTCTGCTACATCCCGGCACGCGAGGGGGGAATAACCTGTTTGATTTTATTTTTTTTCAGTTCTCTCAGGCCAGACACACCACAGCCCTTTGAAACGCTCTGTGTCCCTTACCCCACCCATGAATGTGCCAAACCAGCCTCTAGGACATGGATGGATGTCTCATGAGGACTTACGAGCTAGAGGACCCCAGTGCATCCCTTCCGATCATGCCCCCCTGTCTCCACAAAGCAGTGTAGCCTCTTCGGGAAGTGGTGGGAGTGAACATTTAGAAGATCAGCCTTCCGCTCGTAACACATTCCAGGAGGAAGGGAGTGGGATGAAAGGTGAGTGACAACGAGACACCTCCCCTGTACCCCAACCCCGGCCATCGGGGGAGGCCTCGGCCCAGCTCCTTGTCCCCGTGCTGGGCCGGGCACAGAGAGGGCAGCGGAGAGCCCTTTCCCTCGCGTGCGATTTTTTGCTTTGATTTTTTGCGATTATTTTGTTTTCTCCTCGAGAACCCTGAGCTCTAGGTACACATACAGCACGTTTAGTGCCACGACCACTCCAGGGCCGCGTGAACCTGCCCGTTTTGGCACGTGTGCCAGGCTGAGCACGCGCTCCTGAACCCGAGCGGTTCCCGTTGCGCAGTCTGTTTTTTCCCGATATGCTGCAAACTGCCAGATTTCCTCCACGGTGTGTGCCTCTAGCTGAGCTCTCTTTTTTCTTTCTTTCTTTTTTCTATTATGATGAAAATAGCTTAGTGCAAGTTTAGTGAGCCCTGTGTAATCTATCACTGCGGTGTCTGCTGTGACAAGAAACCCACCAAGCGCTTGGAGAAGTTTTTGGCTTAAGAGACTTAATTTATCCTGCGTTCTTCAGTTGTTTTTTTTTCCATGGTGCCTGCATTTCTCAGAGACTTCTAGCAATAAGAGACCTTGTCCTGTTGGTACGTAAGGCAGAAATGAAACCCTTAATGAGCACTCCCTCCTGCAGCGCCTTCGCTAACGAACGGTCCTCGGAGTGTTTGGTCTCCAGCGTGCAGGGACGTGACAGGCAGCGTGTTCGTGTCTTCCAAGATGCTGCGTTTTGGGGTTCCTGCTGCAGCTTCCCAATGCGAATGTGGGCGTGCGACGGCGTTCTCTGCTCCCCAGGGTTGAGGCTGTGTAGAGATCTCCAGAGCTAGGGACCTTCTGGTGGACCCGCATCCCGCAGGACCCACATCCCACCGTCCTCAGCCCCAATGGGGAGAAGCTGCTGCAAGGCTCGTGCATCCCGCCCACATCCTGGGGCTAGGGCTTGTCAGGGCACGAACTTGGGAAGGAGTCGGTGAAATTGTGGAGGAGGGTGAAGGGGAAGCCTGACTTTCTGCATCCAGGGCTTGACCCTGCAAGCCCCTGAGACCCTTTCCATGGGCAGGTGGCACAGAGGGGTCTGCCTTGCGTAGCATCGCGCCGGGTTTCTGCTGAGGGAGCTGGGGAAGAGGCTGCAGGGCCTCGGCTCCACGGGATTAAAAGCTGCAGCTCTGGGATACGGATAGTAACTCTGTGGATAGTTTTCCCCGGATAATTTCTGGGGCTCGGGCCGTTCGCCCAGAGTGCTGGTGCATCGCAGGGGAGGCTCTTGCTAGATGCCACTGCCTCTATTTCCCAGCTTATTTTTGAGTACCGCAAACTGCCTGTGCTGAGGGAATCCTGCTCCAACAGGAATCACGAGCAGGCTGCTCCCCTGCTCCTGGAAACGGGAACAACTGTCCCCGACTGTCCCGACGGCCGCAGGGCTGGTGCCCACGGGCAGGAATTAGCTGCCTGCCCGAGCCCAGCTCCTGCTGTGGGCTCTCCTGCAAAGCCTCCTGCCTCCCTGCAGGGCGATTGCTGCCCTTCGTGGGCTCCTTGCTCCGTGCCTCGCTGCCCTGCTCCCTGGCAAGGTTTACCAGCACCTCACCTGAACTTCCCGTGTTGCTGCTTTTACCAGTGTCCCAGGGAACAGGCAGAAGTGACCGTTCCCATCTACAGCCTCATGTCTGAAGGCTGTTGTGGCCTCTCCCCGCGGCTGCATCTTCTTCACCCTGAACCAGTCCAGTTCATCCGTTCTTTCTTCACAGATCATATTTTCTAGACTTTGGCTTTGTCCCTGCTCTTCTGTTCCGGGTTTTAGCCTGAAGGTCCATGCCTTTCTGAAGGCGGGTTTTCCAAAGGTGGATTCAGGAGTCCAACTTCACCGGAGCTGATCCGGGAAGACCGGCTTCCCGTGCCATACAGAGAGGCTCTGCTCGTAGCACATCAATACGTTGCTCATGGTTTGCAGATGACCCCATGGCACTAGTTCTGCGCGATCCGCTGTGTCCCCGGATCTCTCCTGCAGGAAGCACTGCCTATTCCCTGCGCTTCGTTTGGGCAGGTTCCTCCAGAAATGCGCAACTTGGTGCGTTTTCATTGGAGTGCCTCTAATTTTATCAAGACTCTTCTCTCCATTTGCCAAGATCCTTCTGAATTCCAGGCATGTCTTCCAAAGTGCCTGCAGGCACAGCAGCTTGCTGTCATCTGCACTTTCAATAAGCTTGCTCTCTTTCCCATCCTCCAGGCTATCCATGAAAACAGTGGCTAAAACCGGACCCACCGTAGTCTCGTACGGAGCATTACCGAACAAATTCTGCCCGTTTTGCCGTTTATCTCCCCTCGTGTCGCTTCCCGGGAGCTTTTGTGTGTCCCGGAGCATCAAAGCTCTGCAGCTCTGAACTGTGGCCATGGCAGGGGGCACCCTGTGACAAATCCATCACGTCGTTGCCCGTCCCGGTGTTTCGGGATGGGCTTGTTGTGATGCAGCACACGACAGCACTAGAGCAAGTCCCTGCTCCGAAGGGCTGTTGGAGACGAGTGAGTTTAGAGAGTAGATTTCTTTTCGATCCCTGTTTCTGGAATCTGTTTCTTGGCAGCGCGTTGGGAGCGGGCTGGGATGCGCCGCGCCGTCGGGGCGCTCCCGGGGACATCCCGCGTCCGGGGTGGCTGCAGGAGGAGCCGTTCCTTCCCGTGCCAGCAAATATCTGCACGCTGGCAAAGCTCGGGCACGGAGCGTGTTTGAGAGGCGCACAAGCAGCGCGGGAGTCCTCGCGTTGGACACGGTGCTGCTGACAGTTATGCCATGGTTTGGCAATTAGGTCCCGGGAACGGGTGATTAACGAGGAGCTCCATATGTGAACAGAGTAGCTGGTTGCTCTGCAGGGATCATTAGGAAGTAATGACTGCGTCCGGCAGGTTGGCTTTCCAAGGACTGTGAAATCACCTTAAAAAGGCCTCGCGCCTCCCTGTTCCTTGCGGAAGAGGAAAAGAGCCCTGGGGTGGCTGTGCATCAAGGTGCCTCCCTCTGCCCTAGCTGTCTCATAGGGCTCCCCAAAAATTGGGGGCTTGGGCCCAGGCATTTGGCTTTTCTGCAGGGCTTATTGCATGCGTGAGGTCCCAGCTGTGTGTGGAAAGTGTCTCTGCAGATGCTCCTTTCAACAGATAGAAGCACCAAAACCAGATGTTCCAGATCAGGCACTGCTCCTCGGGTGGCATCACTGAAATGACAGGTTTTTGTCAAAATGCGGTTGAGATTCAACTCTCTACCTGCGCTGGAAACAGGAGGATTTTGGTTACTGTTGGTTGCACATAAGGATGTACAAAGAGGCACAACACCTGTTGGCACAAACTGCTCTGAGATGTAGCTGAAAGGGTAGACAATTTTCAGCACCGTTTTTCCTCCCCCTGCACTCCCCCTCATGTGAAGTTTTTCTTGTTGCAGAGGAAGGATGTGGTGAAACCACACTGATGTCTGGAGAAAACAGGTATATAAGGAGCATCCCTCCAGCAGTGCAGACAGCAACAGGGAAGGAAGTTGCCTCAGTGCGTTCGGTGGTCCTGGGTTGTAGAACCATCTTTTATGCCATTTTTTCCACATCTAAAGTAAAATGAGAATCACTTTATTTCCCTTCAAGCAGGTGTTTAAATTTTGAGTCCATATCACCTTCCGTCGTGTCTAAAAGCAGTATGTGTTGTCTGCAAAACAGCCTTTTTTCACGTTAAGCTCATCCCAGTCACCAGTTTCTGCAATTTCCACCTCCTAGAGATGAGGGCAGTTAAAAGCTCGCCGGGGCCGTGGCAGTTTGCAGACATAAGGCTCCTTCTCCGTGGGGCATCTCCAACCAGGGCCGTCCACAAGCTGGTGTCCCCAAAACTGGGGGACCAACCCAGTTTTCAAGCTGCTGTTGAGCCGCTCTAACATAAATCTTAGCAATCGTGGTGGATCACGCACTGTCCTGTTGCAGCTAGTGCAGTGTGCACATATATAATCCTTGCTCTTAGTGGTCTTCATTTTCTCCTAGCAAGGACATTTTCTTTATGTTCAGCTCTATTCTAAGCCCAGAACGACTCTGAAGTAGTTTTGTTGTGGCCTTCTCTAAACCAGGCTCAGTATATACCAGCGAGCCTATATCCACCACTCTATCCAGGCTGCAACAATCCCTGGAACAAATCCCTACAATTTTTCTCTACCATTTATCTTGGGCGTAGCACTGATTTAACTAATAGTGCTTGAATAAAGAGACTTCAAAAACCAATGGACTGATCCACAGATGAGCTCACATCCTCCGAGCGGTCCCTCAAAGTCTAGCGAGTGCCGGGAGCAGCAGCGGGACGAGGAGGCCGCTGCCTGATAAACCCCTCGTGCTGTTGTTGATCTTATCGGGTGTCGTTAAACAGTGTCATAAAATAAAAGGGCGTTCTTGTCTCTCTGCCTTTGTGCTGCAGATGTTCCAGCCTGGCTGAAGAGTCTCCGTCTGCACAAGTACGCGGCGCTCTTCTCGCAGATGACGTACGAGGAGATGATGGCACTCACCGAATGCCAGCTCGAGGCACAAGTACGTCTGGAGCCGCTCGGAAAGCCCTTAGCCCCGTTTCCTCCTCGGCTGCCCTTGTCCCTCCTAAGAACTCGCTGTTTGTTCAGTTGGTGGACGCGCTGAAAACCTCCCCTTCTGGCTTCACGTGGTTTCGCTTGCAGAGGGTTGAAAAACAAACAGGAAGAGGAAAACTGAGTCTAGGGAGAGTGGAAAAAAACGCGTTGTACCTGAAAGAGACCTTGTCCCTGGCTTCTTATTGGAGGAAATTCCCAGCTTTTTCAAAGTCTGTATTTGTATCTGCTGGTAGTTCCCCAAATCCTGAGCTGTGTAAGTGGCTGGAGCAGCCTTGCTGCGGGAGGGGAGGCTTGCAGGCCACCTGCCTGCAGGATTCCTCTCGCTGCTCACACCGTTTCCCAGTTATCACTGAGCTTTTCATTTCTTCAAGTCTCTCGTGGAGTTCAGAGGCTTCCCCAGGCACCGGCATCTAGCCAGAAAGAGACCAAGTTGCTAAATCTGCCTTAAAAGCTGAAGGGTCTCTCCTAAGAGGTCTTAGTTTCCCCATCTCTAGGGAATTAACCCCAGGCCTGTGTGTTGGGTCCGATGGGTTTGTACTGGGGCAGAGCCACGCTGAAAAGCGTTGTTTGAAACATGCCCCTAAAACACAGGTGCTGGCACAGTTCTTCTCAGATTTAAAATCCCCCACCAGATTTTAAAACCATTCCCCGAAGTAGCTGGGAAGGCACTTTCCCCTTTTGAGTGCTTATAAAGATAGATGCTCCAGGGGAGGGACAGATTGGCAGCAAATCTGTATCTCAGCAATGTTTCTAAGTGATTTTCTATGTCCTCCGCTAATCCCTGCATTGAGAGTTTGATTAATTTACAGCAGCTCTTTTCATTGAGGAGAGAAAGGGTTTTGATTCATCCCAGTGTCCTGTAGAAATGTTAATGCCAAGTTATATGCTGTTTTTGCAGAATGTTACCAAAGGCGCAAGACACAAAATAGTCATCAGTATCCAAAAGCTAAAAGAGAGACAAAACCTTCTCAAATCTTTAGAAAGGGTAAGTTCTTACAACACTTCTACATTTCTCCTTTTTCAATTGCAACAATAGCCAAGAATTAATCTCGAGGTAGAGCACTCTTATTACACGTTTTCCTGGGTACTTTCTGCATGGGAATCTGTTGGGTCGGCCACATCTGAGTGGGGTCTGGAAACAGCTCTGTGCCAGACACAGTTTTTATTTGGGGCTGTAAGCCCTAATGAGTGAGTCTAGTCCAAACTGCTGCAGAGCAGCACCACATACAAGTCCTGCTGCAGCCCAGCAGCTGAGATTTCCAGCCTGCATCCTGCTTTTTCTGCCTTTTCACGTGTTTTTTTTGGGAGGAAATGGGCAGCAGGGCCTCCAGAGTGCTCCCAGCTCCAGGAAAGGCCAGTGCAGGGAGTGAACCACCCGGCACTTGGGTTGGGCATTTGCTAGAGCTGCATTTGAAAGGAAAAGGTGGCTTTATTTTGGATCCAGGCTCAATATTGTTTGCAAATACCGATTCCTTAAAGTCAAAGAAGTCTGCAAATAAAATAGAAAGCCCCAAAGCAGAGCATAACCCAACAACTGCACAGTGTTTCCTGCCTGGGCGCTGGTGCTGGGCTGTTTTCACTTCCCGTTTTCCATAGAAAACACCTGAAGTTCTGGCTGTGAGCCAGGCTGGTGGCAGTGCTGTCCCCCAGCCTCTCAGCCATGGTGTGGGAGCCGCTGTGGCCCCTCTGGGCTGGCACAGGTAGGGCAGGAGTGCCCAGGTGAGTGTTTGCAGGGCTGACGACGTGTTAATCGTGGGGAACGAAGGGCCGTCGGTGGGATCACCGCGGCAGCTGCCTGCGATGGAGCTCGCGCCTGCAGCGTGTGCCAGGCGAGATGGTTTGGGTAAGTCACCTTATCTAAGGTGACATCCATCCTCCCTGCACATGCCCTGAGGCAAAGTATCCCCTGGCCAAGAGCCAGGTCCCTGCACAGTTGCCACGGGCCAGCCCTTGGGCAGCAGCTGGTTAATTCCCAGGCATGGGTGGTGTGCCTACCCTTGCAAGGGAAATCCTGTCCGTCCTTCTGAGCCAGACGGGCTCATAAAACCCATCCCTGCTGCTCGTAAGACTTGATCCTATTTTGGAGGGTATCACAGGGCAAAGATGCCGCTTGCCCTACACCCTCTCTGAGCTATTTATGTTTATTTATGAACCTCAGAGGTTCCTCTGCTAAAACTGATTGGCAGCAAAATGAGCTCCAAACCGTGACAGTGTCAGGACCTCCTGGAGGCGAGTGAGACAGCACTTGAACTCCTCGGGATGCAAATTTTCACCCCGGTGCAGAGCTTCATTTGCACAGCCTGTTGTAGGGGGCATCTAGGTGCTGTTCCATCACAGCGCGTCAACCCTGGGAGAGCTCCATGGGCAGCCTGTCTTCCCAAAGACAACAAATAGAACCTTCTTGTCCCATAAAAAAAACAAAAAGAGCTTAAACTCTGCCAAAGTGGCTGTCAGTGAAGCACCAGCAGCACAAACCTGCTGGGAGCGGCTCACCCAACCTCTCGCTATTTGTTATTGCAATATTATATTATATTTAATTGAACTTTCTTCAAACAGCAACTTGCACAGCCTCCCACTAGGGGCTTTTAAATACTTATGTGGTGTGATGCTATTTATTGGTGTTTTCGTTAGCTCACTGCTTCGCTATTTATTTATAATATGGGATTGTACTCAGGGTATGGCAGGAGCTAATAAAGCCATATTTACCTCTGTATATTAATAATAACTATTAAATGCAAGAGACAGCCCACTGGATTGAGCGTTCTCCGCTGATGTGTTTTCCAGGCAGTTTCACAGCCTCTCCGGCTTCTCTGCGTAGATTTTGAAATATGGTATTGATTGACTGTCTCAGTGCAGGAATGTAAGCCAAATCCAGCTGACTCAATGAGCCACGTGCACAGTAAAATAAGAGGAGATAAGTGACAGGATCTGCTTTTGACTCCCAGCAGCTCGGCGGGGCAGGTTTGGGGATGGAGCTGTGGACACATAATGAGAAGACCATGGGGCTCAGAGCTGCCTGTGGGCTGCTTTTCTTGGGAGGTTACGCCTCTGTTTTCCCAAGTTTTTCATCCAATTTCTCCCCTCTCACGCCCCCCCCCTTTTTTTGAAGCTAAACAAGAGCATATGTGTGACTTGATTTTTTTGGGCAAAGCCTAGCAGCTAAAGATTCCTTCTTTCTTGGAAAGAGCTGCCCCACCCTTCCCACCAGTTAGCAAAGCAGGATTTATCCCCAAAGTGTGATAGTGCCCGGCGACTGACGCCGTGTCACAAGAGGATTTAAGACATCTGAGAGCGAGCTGGGGGTGCAGAAGGAATTAGGGTGAGCCACGATTTCGCTGCCCTGTGCACAGCCCCTGTGTCCACTTTGGGTCTCTTCCTTCGGTGCCCTCTGAGCTCATCCCCAAAAAGCTGCCTCTGACCAAGTGGTGCCTCACGAGCAGTTTGAGCCAGACCGTGCAGCCTGCGGAGCAGCTCTTCACCACGCTGCAGTAAAATCTTGATGTGATTCTTATCAGCTTTCCCTGAGGCAGGAGGGCCAGGCTGGTTCCTAAGCACAGAAAGAAATGGTTGCTGTCTGCTCAAACAGCAGAGCAGGAGATGGACCCGAGGAGGGCCACCCACCCTTGTCCTCGGAGACAGGATCAGCTCCACGTAAAGGTACTGGACAGTGATGGAGATTCCTCATCCTTCCCCATAACCAGCCTCCCTCCAGCCAAACAAGCCTCCCATGGCCCCTCTGTCTTTTATAGCCTGGATTACTCTGCTGCTCCCTCCAACATTTCCAGCAATGCCTAAAAGCTGCATCAGGTGCTGAAAAATCATGGCATGGAGCCAAGGACCCGAGGGTTCACCCAGTGACGAATATTGAGATCTTTTATCTGTTCCTCCTGTGTTCACACCACTGATGTGTGTTTAGGACAGGCCCTCCAGGCACGTTCCGTGCTCAGCAGAGACACAAATCTAATTCTGTTGTTCAAAACTGAAAGAAAACCAGGGCAAATCTTCCAGAGACTCTCAGGTCCTAGCCATGGGGGTTAGTTCAAAGCAGAAGTTAGTTCAAAGCAGGAGTCCCAGTGCCAGGGACTTCTCCTACCTCTGCCTGCAGCCTTCAACCCAGATGGTTTGCAGTCACCTCTTCAGACCATTTTCCTGCTCAGACCTTCACCTTTCTATGCACAATTTCATCTGCTCTTTCTTGGTCATCCTCTCAGGGATGCAGAGTCTTCCTGACCCCTCTTTTCTTCTCAGATATTGTCCAAATGGCCAAAAACATTGGATCTTTCCTGGCTTCAGCCAGCTTTCTCTGGGATCCCAACCTTTTGAAGGAGCTGCCGGTATCAGTGTTACCTGTTTCCATCTACTACTGTTTGCACTTTGACAGAATGAATTTGCAAAGCCTGCTACAGACAAACCTTTATTTTTCAGCGTTGGTGAATGCTGTCCACACTCTTGTGTCTCCTGTGAAGACCTTGCCTTGTACTAGCATGTCCTGGGGCTCTGCAGTGGTGATCCCAGCACACAGATTTTTGGAGGCACTTTGGGGCAAAGCAGTTTTGCAGGGTCAAGCTTGAAGACAATGCTGGAAATCTATGTTAGAAAGAGTAGCTCAGGTTAGAAAGGGCTGAAATGTCATGAACTGGTGGGGCATCGCAGTGGAAGGAGCAAGAGATGGCTGGTTAGGGCTTTGAAATCTCACTGGATCCATTGCTACTGGATCCACTGCATCTGCAGGAACTGAGGTCTGAACACATCCACTGACAGTCACGTGTGGTGGCTGCAGGGGCTTCACCCCTGAGGCTGCAGCTTTCACCCCGTGGTCTAAGCACAAGGCTCGGTGAGTTAAACAGGGTTATGGCATACGGACAACAGCAGAGGCCTGGGGCAGGAGCGAGGCCTCGCTGGAGATCGAGGATTCCCAAGGGCTGAGGGTGCCGGCCCGGTTCGCAGCTGCAGAGGTTTCACTGCAAACCCTCTTCTCTCGATTGAATCCGCAGGACATCCTGGAAGGTGGCAACTTGCGCGTCCCGCTGCAGGAGCTCCACCAAATGATCCTCACGCCCATCAAAGCCTACAGCTCCCAGAGCGCCAGCGCGGACGAGCACGGCCGGGACGCGGACGCGCGTCACCCCCCTTCCCTCCTGGGCTCGGACAGCCAAGGCCCCGAGTGCAAGGACTCTGCTGCGGGGGGGCTGCAGCAGCACCACTTGCCGGGGTGCGAGGGCGAGTCCGGAGGGGCCCCGTTGCCCGAGGGAGACCTGCCCGGGCAGTTCACCAGAGTCATGGGGAAAGGTGAGCGCCGGGGCTGGCGTCCGCGCGAGGGACGAGCGCTCCGGAGCAGGGCGCGTTGGGTTCCAAGGGTTCCAAGTGAATAACCCCGGAGGCAGGGATGGAGCAGGGTGTTAAATGCTGCTCAGAGGCTGCTCTGCGTTTTAGTGGCTCTGCTTTGCCTTGCAGCAGTGAGGGGCTGCAGACCTCTAACAGAGCTCGACTTGCTTTGGATGACAGTCAAAAGAGATAGGTCCAAGGTCTCTTTAAGTCCCATTTTAGACACGGGACATCCAGAATGTCCTGCTGCTGTCCCGGGCCAGTCGTAGGGAGCTGTTGCAGTGCTTTGCATTGGGCTGAAGCCACTGTCACATTGTCGTGTGTCCCTCCAGGAGGTAAACAGGAGGTACGGGCTGTCTTCACATGCCATGTACAGGGCAGTGCTGGCAATTTTGGGCTAGTTTAAGCACTAACTTTAGTGTCAGGGACTAAACCTAGTCCTAACTGCTAGGTGGGATCTGAGGGGTAGATGCTTCCTGCATGGAGGGAGATCTCCTTGGTGAAGAGAGGAGGGGAGGCTTGTAATCCGCAGACTGGATGGAGACCTGTCAGTTTGCCGTGAAAAAAATGTCAGTCCTGCCCCCATTTCAGACCCTGCCGCAAACCATATATAAAGAGTCATTTTTCCATATAAAACTGTATGAAAAAGATGTTTCCTATATACAGATTCAGAGTAACATTTCCGTGCCAGGGAGCCGTGTCCGCTCAGCTCACCCGGGAAAGGCGACGCTGCCCCGCGGGGAGAGGAACTTCCTGCAGCTCCCGGCAGCGCTGCGGGAACAGGAGGGACTCGCGGCCGTCCCCTGCGAATCCATTTGCACTTGCTTTTATGGCATCGGTTCAAAAAGAGGCTAAAGCCCTGCTGTCATCGATAGCTGCGGGAATCCATTTTCGGCGGGGGCAAATTTTGGCCACGGGAGCCGTAGATCTTAGAGGCCGGTCTTCTGCTGACAGCGCCGTTTGCACGTTACGACGGGAAAAGGGAAAGGGGGGCCAGGACCTGCGCTCCTCATTTGCTCGGGTCTAATTTTGATGACTTAAATGGTGTTACTCTGGATTTACACCAGCGTAACAGAGAAGAAAAGCTGTCCCTAAAAATAGAAAGGCACGGCAGGAATCGGGGCAGGGTGTTTTTCCTAGACAAATGACCCATTGATGAGAACATCTCTCAGATAAGTGAAATAGGATGTCCGAAACATTCTTCAAAAACCCCAAAGCCCTGATCCCAGCTCAGTATCCACATTCCTGTTTATTTTTTCTCCTCTTCTTTTCCTTTCTTTCCAGTCTGCACACAACTTTTAGTTTCCAGACCCGATGAAGAGAATATAAGTTCCTACTTACAGCTCATAGACAAGTGTCTAATTCATGAGGTGAGTCGTGACGGATCTTGTAAAACTGTTGTTCTCTCGTCACTTAGAGACTGTTTCCAAAGTGTCTGTTTATGTAAACATTTGTGTTTCTAACACAAATATTTGGGGGGGTATTAATAGTAATTCTCACAGAACAGGGCCGGAGCGGGCTGTGAATCCAATCTGGTGCACAGAAACGCCGCTCCCCCTGTGCTTGCTTAATTGCAACGACGTGGAGCGGGGAAATGCATCTTGCTCGTGACAGGCTGATGAGCAGCTGGATGAAAGAAAATCCCGGGACGAATGTGCATGCGGTTTCTATCAGACAGACCAAACGATCGCCCGGCA